CGACAATTATCATGGAATCTGCCATTGGTGATTTCATAAGACCTGAAGGGTGGATGCCATGGAATGGCACCTTTGCACTCGATACTTTGTTATATGCTGAGTATAACAACCGTGGTCCAGGTGCTAATACCGCCCAAAGGGTCAAATGGAAGGGTTTCAAGGTCATCACCGATAGGAATGAGGCTCTTCGTTTTACTGCTGGACCATTCCTTCTWGGGAACGAGTGGTTGAAAGACACCGGAGCGCCTTTCATTCTTGGATTGAAGTACTAATCCAAGTAGCTATTACTTGACAAAAGGCAACAGACAGGAATAGAATGAGATGTTGGAAATACAATTTCCTTTTGTTCATTTAAAGCCATCTGTATCTTTTGTTAACTTCTTTAATCAATAAAGTGAGATTTTTTTTTGAGGTAATCTTGTTGTTTCTAGTTTGTGTGTTTTTATTTTATTTTATTTTTTTTATCTAATCTAAAGGTTACATTGTAGGGCATTCACTTGGTGAGTAAGAGCCATAACGGGAGATCTAAATCACTCCATTTTTTGTAAACCTAGGAGGTCCCAATGGACTTTGGTCTAAGGCAATTAACTTGATGATTGGCACATAGATTGTTAATAGTTAAGTATCAACTATTAGGATGAGACTTCGAGCAGCCATCTGCATCTTATGCACATTGATTTTTATCCAACTGGGTTTTATTCATCATAGGGTTTATTAAACACTATTAATGAATTTTGAATCACTAAGATGCAAATAATTTTTTATCCTGTTGGATATACGGGATACTGAGGGTTGTAGTATCATGACCGGTCACCTTGTATGTCCAAGCCTTTCGCCAATTCTATCAGAACTGTGTTGTTTCTGGCACCATTGACTTCATATTCGGTAACACGAAAGCAGTGATGCAAGATGTCAAATCATCGTTAGAAGGCCTATGAACAACCAGCAAAACACAGTAACAGTACAAGGAAAGAAATTCCAGAATGAGGACACTGGTATTGTGACCCAAAACTGCAATATCGACCCAGATCAACAGCTCTCCGTTGATAAGTTAAAGATCCCTTCATTCCTGGGCCGCCCATGGAAAAAAATATGCAACTACAATTATCATGGAATCAGCCATTGGTGATTTCATAAGACCTGAAGGGTTGGAATGGCAACTTTGCACTCGATACTTTGTTCTATGCTGAGTATAACAACCGTGGTCCAGGTGCTAATACCGCCAAAAGAGTCAAATGGAAGTGTTTCAAGGTCATCACCAATAGGGATAAGGCTCTTCGCTTCACTACCTTACCATTCATTCTAGGAAATGAGTGGTTCACTACAACAAAATCCGTATATAGCGGCGGAATTCTTAGCGGCACTAATAAAAACGCCGCTATATATTCATTTTTAAGCAGATAATAGTGAAGGCTGCTGCTATACCGTACTATAGGTATGGTTACGTATAGTGGCGGATGCATATTTGCCGCCTGAGAAGAGATGCACTGAAAATTGAAAAACCAAAGAGCTAGCGCGCTAAATCTTCTCTCCCGCGCAAAGGAAACCTGTAACTTTTTTAGTCTTCCCTCAAACAGCACCAGCGAAAACCCTTTCACATTCTTCTCTTTATCTCTTTATTGATTCTAGGTTTCTAACCCTCTCGCCCATCACCTATTCGCATTTTCCTATGTTCTTCGGCAGTTGAGAAGCACTGAAAACGGAGGTTACTCACAATTTTTCTCTCCCCCTTTACTCTCCTTCTCATTCTCTCTCTCTAACTTTTTTCTTTTCATTCATCCCTTTTTCTGTAGGAGACCATCAAACCTTCGGCATCTGAAAAGCACCGAACTGTATTAAGAGGTAAGTCACGATTTCTCTCTCCCCCTTTCATCTTCTTCTTCTCATTCCCTCTCTCTCTCTCTCTCACTTTTTTCTTTTCATTTGTCCCTTTCGTCCCTTTTTTTGTAGCAGACCATCAAACCTTCTCTTTGCCGATTCTAGGTTTCAATCCCACTCTCCCTCATCTCTTGTCACTCCTTGAGCAGCTGGGAACCGAACTGAATTCATCTCCGGTGAGGTAAGTCATCGATTTCTCTCTCCCCATTTCCTTTTCTTTCTTTCATTCTCTCCATTAAGCATGATGCCCACAACTGTATGTCCTTCCAGTAACCTTGTTGAGGGCTCGAGAATAGGATCTCGTCACGGGTCGGTCCACGAGGAAAACCTCCTGTTTTCCCTTGTTCCTTCCTGCTCTTGATGAACCTATCTTGGCACCTTCGTGATTTGTTCAAGAGATCACCAACTCTCCTAACTCACTTCTTTAATTGAATATTCGATATCTCATTCAATAATGGTGTCTCCTTAAATAGGAGATTACAAGAGTCCTAATCTTAGGGAGTTTCCTTGCTGAATAGGGAGACTTCCAGTTCTATCTTGCTAAGGATAAGATAAGTTAATCCTAATCTGATAATCCACTAATAARATAAGATAAGAGCAATAGAATAAGATAAGAACAATAAGATAAGAACAAGCAAGATGATCTAATCTAATCTGCTGTTGTCGAACTAGGTAGGACGAGGATCATTGAATCACTRCTGCTGCTGGCGGTGGGTCAAGTTCCTGTTGCTGCCGACGGCGATGATACTTTTTCCAGAGGAATGCGTCCATAACATTACTCCCCTCCTAGACTAAGAGCTTGTCCTCAAGCTCGAACTCCGGATACGTGGCTTGGAACTCTGCTAATGAAATCTAGGTGGCTTTGGCCGCTAGTAAGCTACCCCATTCCACCAAGACTTCAAGAATTCCTCGATTGAAACGAGAGCGTGTGAGAGCCTTAGGCTGGGGAACAAGTTTTCCATCTTTCAAGGGCGGCAGGGAGGGGACTTGGTTCGGAGGATCACCCGTAAATGGTTTCAGCAAGGAGATGTGGAAAACATCATGAATCCAGTTGTCTCCGACAATTCCAGTTGGTAGGCCACACTGCCAATCCGCCGTAGAACCTTGAAGGGCCCATAGAACTTAGGGGCCATTTTCGGGGCAGCTCTGTGGCGCAAGGAGCATTGCCGGTAGGGCTGGAGTTTTAACAAAACAAATTGTCCAGGTTCTAACGATAGTTCCCGGTGGTGCTTGTCATATTTGAGCTTCATGTAGAGCTGGGCCTGCTGTAAGCGAAGGTGGACGTCGGCTAGGAGGGCGTCGCGATCTTGTAAGGAGTGATCAATTTCTTCCAAACGAGTAGAACCGGGCTCATAGGACAACAAGCGAGGAGGGTCCCGACCATAAACGACGCGAAAGGGAGTCATGCCGAGGGAAGAATGGTAGGCCGTGTTGTAACAGTACTCGGCCCAAGGAAGCCAATCCACCCACCGTCGCGGTTGATCCCCTACGAAGCAATGGAGATACATCTCGATCGTGCAGTTGACCACCTCCGTCTGATCGTCGGTCTGTGGATGATAAGCTGAGGAGAAGGCCAGGGTGGTGCCGTGCAGTCTGAATAACTCCTTCCATAAGGCACTAGTGAAAACCGGATCCCTATCGCTGACGATGGATTCTGGTAACCCATGTAAGCAGAAAACATGTGTAAAGAAGGCGAGGGCAACTAAAGTGGCACTGTATGGATGTGATAGAGGAATGAAGTGGGCATACTTAGAGAAGCGATCTACTACCATGAAGAGGACCGATTTGCTACCTACCATGGGTAGTCTCTCAATGAAGTCCATGGAAATGTTGGCCCAGATCTGTGTCAGGATCGAAAGGGGCTAAAGGAGGCCTGCTGGGTGTAGGTTTTCCCATTTATGTTGTCGGCACGTGGAGCAATTCTGGACAAAATCCTGAATAGAAGTCTTAATACCCCGCCAATGTAAATCAGCCCGGACGCGGTGTAGCATTTTTTGAACACCTTCATGGGTGGAGTTATGGACACCGGTGATGATGGTGGAAATCAACAGGGAATCAGGCGGAAGATGTACCCTGCCTTTATATTGTACCAACCAATCATGAAGCAACCAATTGGAGTCGGCAGCATCGGACTGAATCTTCTGGACCTGGAGCGACCATTCCGGAGACTGTGGCGTTGCCTTCTGAATGTCGTCTAATAGAGAGATCCAGGGTTGGGAAATTGCACACAGAGCCATCGTGTCTTCATCTCGCCTAGACAAGGCATCAACTGCGCGATTTGAGGATCCCACCTTGTATTCCACCCGGAAATCGAACCCGAGCAGTTTGCTAACCTAATGCTACTGAGGGGAAGTGGTGAGACGTTGCTCCAACAGGTATTTGAGGCTGTAATGATCAGTTTTGACGATGAACGACCGCCCCCACAAATACAGCCTTTAGTGCTGGACAGCTCGGGCGAGGCCGATTAGTTTGCGCTCATAGGCCGGAAGTTTCAGGTGCCGATCGGCCAGTCTGCGGCTGAAGAAAGCAATCGGGTGCCCTTGCTGCTGTAACACGGCCCCGATACCCATTCCAGAGGCATCACACTCGATTGTAAATTCGAGAGCGAAATTTGGGCCATTCGGGTGCCCTCCAACAGTCCATAATTCTGTACAAATTTACAGTAGTAACCCGTTAATCCGAGGAACCCGCGTAAGGCCTTGGCTGATTGAGGCTTGGGCCATTCCTTGATAGCCTGAATTTTGGAAGTATCAACCGTCACACCTTGCTCATGGATGACGTGGCCGAGATAAAGAACCTGTCGCTCCCCGAAGGAGCACTTGGACCGTTTGAGGAAGAGTTTGTGTTGGCGCAGGAGCTCAAAAACAATCCATAGATGGTGCACATGTTCTACCCATGATTTGCTATAAACGAGGATGTCATCAAAGAATACTAAAACAAATTTGTGCAGATGGGGCTGAAATACCTCGTTCATCAATGACTAGAATATGGATGGGGCGTTGGAGAGACCGAATGGCATGACTAAAAATTCAAAGTGGCCATGGTGGGTTCGAAAGGCAGTCTTTTTCACGTCACCGGGAGCCATGCGAACCTAGAAGTACCCGGACCTGAGGTCCAACATAGGGATGTACTGAGCACCATGCAGATCGTCCAACAGTTCGTCCACAACGGGAATAGGGAACTTATCCTTGATTGTTCGGTCATTGAGTTCTCTATAGTCAACACAGAACCTCCAAGTTCCATCCTGCTTTGCCACCAATAGAACCGGCGAAGAGAAGGGAAAGTGACTCTTGCATATGATCCCTTGTTTCAGCATCTCTGTACATTGTTTTTCTATGTCGTCCTTCTGTAGGTGAGGGTAGCGATAAGGCCGGACAACGACTGGTTCTGAACC